AAAGCGCACTTTGCAGATAGGCGTGTCAGAAGACGATGCCAGTGCCCCAGCAGGTGCAGGGTTTATCTCCCGCGTCTTCTGATCGTTTGCCTTGCCTCGTACTTGAATTAGTATACATTGGTGTGGCATCAGTACACCGAACATAATTAGAAGGACACACAGCTTGCCTGATTAGTTCCGACCTTCTCACAGCCGCAGAAAATTCCGATCAAGATGATTGTAAATCGAATCAACTCTCAACTCCCTCAATTGCGCCATCTCCAAGTCGGTCAGTGCCTCCGGCTCCACCTCTTCCATTCCTCCATGTCCTGCCTTCTCGATCGTCTTTTCAGACGCCAGCTTTTGCTCCGCGTGGGATTCCGATGGCTGCTTAGTTTGGCGTTATACATGAATATGAAGTGTAGGATTGAGACTGAACTCGGGTATTTTGTTGTTCGACGTCGCAGCCAGCTTGACGGACATTGAGAATGTCCTGATTTCCAAGCACTCAAGGCATCGCTACTAACCAACCAATCGGACCTTCTCCAAAGTTCATCTACGAATCTCAATCATGAGCGACCAGTCCGAGTCATTATATCAGTGACCCGAAACCGCAAGAAACGTACATCTTTTCCCTAAACTAGAAGATTCATCAGATATATTGCGAGCATGTTGATGAGGCAGTGAGAGAAAACCATTGAGTTCTCGTCCTCAACCAAGAGGAGGGGGAGAACTCGCACGAGGATCCACACGACTGACGTACCAGTACCCTCACCACTGTTTCCCAAACTGGAATGAGGTATCTCGGACCAGCACGTCCGGTGTACTCGAAACAGCGCTAGACAACATAGAAACGTCTCAAACGCCAGTATCGAGATCCAGGACGCAAATAACTTGTAGGGTACATTGTGCGGCGCGCGAAATGATAGTTGTGATCCTGCAAACAACGTGGTACTCGTTGTCCCTGTGTCGCTCGTGAGTAGATAGCAATGGGTACATAATCGTGATGAGCTCGCCTGAGATATTTAAAATACATGATGGTCTTCATTATGGCAGCAATGGCCGCAGACGTTGGAACGAAGGTAGTCGCAAGATAGCCACCATGATGGTTAACAGCCTCCGGGTCCGAGAAAACATAGCATATAAGTGCATTTGTGGTTAAGCTTCAAGGCTTGAAGAAACCTCACTGCCTACCGGAATAGGTAATTGCTTTCTAGGCCTCAAGCGCTGCCGTACTGCCCCTTGCTTCGAAGTTCCCATCCTGGTGAATTCTCATTTCCCCGATTGACTCACACGATTTCTGAGAAGTGATGATCCATTGACGAGAGATACAATATGAGCTATCTAGTACGCATAACCTGCTCCCTGTCAATCCAAGATAACCTCGTCCTCAAAACGCGATGCCTGACTGGTACGTATTGGGTACTCGTACAGGTCTACTACAAGCCATGGCCCATTAGGTATCGAACTCTGCGGGAAAAACCCTATCACCAAGATATTTCCTTTGACTACCCTCGCGTCGCGCCACTGCTGTAGAACCTTCGATGCTGCCGGCTTCGTCGCGCTAAATAATTCATTCATATCCATCACTTGAGGAACCGGTAATTCCACATCCGCGGCATGGAAATCGAGAATGACGATCGGGTTTTTGAGGCCGTCTCTCAATAGTCTGCCGTCTTCGGAAAGATTTCCTTGAGGCGAGAACTCAGAGAGATACGTCTCAACTTGGAGATTGATTTCGTGGGCGTCCTGCCAGATCGAAGATCTTACACAAAGTCGGAACAGTCGAACGTTGTGAGCGGATACTGGGGAGTTTCCCTCTATAGACCGTGAACGACGATGATGAGAAGATCGTATATGTCTAAAATAGGTAACTTACCACGTCTCAACTTGGCAAGTCCTAGACATCGCATGCGATGCCCTGCTTTCCAGTCTTTCTTACGGCAGTCGTGAGAGCAATAGACGACGCTGAGACATCCGGCGCAACGAAGATACGAGCCAGCGCCCTGGCTGTCGGGTTTCATGTCTGGACACTGAGAGGAAGGAAGGAGGGGGGGCTTTATCAGTATCGATCCCAAATACGAAGAAGAACAAGGTACCTGTGAGCAATCACAGACCGAAATCCCCCTCTCCCTTGTGGTCCGTCGATAGAAGTCCCGTAAAGAAGCCTTGTTCTTTGTAAGTTGCCAATTCTCCCAGAAGGCGGGCCACTTCCTTTGCATCTTCTCTTCCAACTGCGGTCGCTTCTCAATCCTCTGTGCAGTTCGGAGGAAGCACCGCAAAACAGGGGGATATACCAGCATAGCCGCAACGCCCTCCAAAATATTGCGAAAGCCTCGATCCAGATCTCCGACCCATGCTTCCTTGAAATAACGCTTGACCCGGTAAAAGCAGGGAAACGATCTGAAGATCGCGTTAAATATCCCAGCTTCCACTGCGCTGACCTCGAGACCACGTAGTAAGATACGAAGCAGCTGGATTGCCCGATCAACAATATAGTATGCGTCCTGGCATTCAACATCGTTGCTACGTTCGATCTCGGGGTCGTTCTGATGGACTATCTTCAAAGATTTACGTTTGTGGAGGAGGGCAGATATGACGTTTACTAACGCCGGGACTGCGTAATGGGCGACGCCGGTTGAGAGAATAGGGTGATTATGGAAATCCTCATTGAACAACGTTGAGAAGAAGTACTTCACATCTCGCAGTTCGTGAGGTGAGAGTGTCGTACATGTATGGGCAATGTGATTGAGATGTCGAACAAAGATCACCCCGACGTCTGTGGGAGTGGCATTTCGGAAGGGTGTGTTGCGTAGAAAGTCCGCGTTGGTCATAAGAGATATGTGGCTCGCGGAGGATTTCGAGGATTCTTGAAGATGGTATAGCTGAGTCGACCACATCCTCCACGTAGGATGAGATTCATCAAATGTCTTCAGCAACACTTGGGCAAACAGTGTTTGCAAGTAGGGGTCCGTCTTTCGTAGCTCGGAGTGGTCGTCCATCCTCTGCGGCACCTTCCGACGATATAAAAGCAGCGGAGTGAAGCTCATCGAATACCGAAGCACGTCCATCCCCTCTATTGTTGACGGTTTCTCCCCGACCAAGATGAATCCTTCGACGAGATATCGAACCCATGGACCGAAGAGATTAGTCCAGTTGGTTTTGATAGCAATAGCTGCCGATGGCCCATATAGCTCGAGATATGCGCTCAAGCACGCGAAGATGAGAAGTACGGTTGTTACTTGACTTGAGGGATGCGATGGGTCAGGCGGCGACGTGGGAGGGCCACCAATCTTCTTGAGGGAACCGATGGCGCTAGTTACGTTTATAAAGCGTGATCTGGCTTTATTGATAAAGTCGTAATCGAGAAGGTCGGGACTACGGCGGAGAGTTTGGCCTGGATCGGCGGGTGTGCTGTACATCCTGGAATTTCCAGTGGTGTGATCGTGCTAGGCAAGGTAGTGAATGGTCAGAACCGATAGTTATACAATCTAATTCTCACTTTCATCCTTGATCAGTACTGAAATTCAGCGTGATTCTGAGGAGGAGTCGACGACAAAAGATAGCCGTTTGAGTCAAAAGCTAGTCGAAGTTCAACACGCGTGATGAGCCCGAAAACTCTGTCCCGGGTCCGGGAGATACCGATCCGAGCACGTGAGACTCGGTTGTCGGCCAGTAACTTTAAGCGCTCATGAGACGACGGACCCCACACCAGTCACCACCGATGTTCTGCTCGAAAACCAGCTGAAATTTTGCCTCTCTGTCTATCTCGACGACTGTTATTTATTTCTCTCTCCTCCGAATCGCCATTTTTATCTGACCTTGGGCAGCCGAGACAACTCAAACGATCGCTTCACTTGACTCGCGAATGGATGTCGAGAAACACAAACTAGAACCTCAGGGTGTCTGTTTCAGAACCGTGGTGCCGACATTAAAAGAGAAGAGCTTGGCACAATTTTTGGGCAAAATGTCTGGGTTTTGGGGCTTGGGGTATATATTGGTGAGTTGCGAGTCGGTTTGTCCGATTCTCTTTTTCTCTAAACACCATTACATTTGTCTCCAACAGCAGTACCACCACTCGACTTCAGAGACATGGGTTTGAACATCCTCAAGCCCTACACCGTCTTGATCCTCAGCATACTCGCCCACGTAAACGCAGCGGCAGAGCGTAATCCTACTCCAGAAGACTATCTTCGCCTACACAACGATCTTCGGGCTGTGACAAATGCTGAGCCTTTGACTTGGAACGACGAATTGGCTATGTACGCGCAGAATTGGGCAGACAAATGTGTCAGAAGGCACTCGAAAGGCCAGTGGGGTGGTACGTCTTACCAGCTGGTTATCTTTGCCCGATCAAACATACTAATGCTCGATGGGTTCCATAGAAAACCTGGCGTGGGGATACGGTGAAGACTATGACGTTGAGAATGGTGTTGGGTATTGGATCAACGAGCGATGTGCGTCTCAACACCTTCCTTCGCGCTTCTCGTGCTGACCTTTGTTCGTTCCATATGCAGACTCGTACAACCCTTACAACCCTCGCCCATCTCACTACACCCAGATGGTATGGAAAGCTACGAAACAAGTCGGATGCGCGGTCGCTTGGTGCCCACACCTCTACCCAAATCGTGGGGATTTGGCCGTGAGTGGTCGTTTTGGTAGATTTTATGCGCATACATGATGCTGACAGTCGTTTGTTTGTTCGGTCTTTCCCCCCTCCTCGACGCATCAAGTACCGAACTAGCAAAATGTTCGCATGCGAGTACCACCCTGTGGGAAATGTGGATGGACAGATTCAGTGCGTTCCTACTCGGCCTTGCTGTCCACGATGTAGTACTGACACAGTGGGTTCAGGAATAACGTCGGGTGAGCTTTGCTCAGGATGTGAACTGAGGGTAAGAGGCCATACATATAACGCAACTGTCCGTCATCGCTAGAAGTTGAACCGTCGGCATCTTGTGCCTTGAACTTTGTCTAGATATTGACAGCGTTGTGATGTCTTGCCCGACGTCACAATCGGTGGCCGACTAGCTCAGCTGGTTAGAGCGTCGTGCTAATATTGTGCATGGAAAATGCTATCAATTATAACGCGAAGGTCTTGGGTTCGATCCCCACGTTGGCCAGTCGCTTCCCATTAGTGTGTCTTTTTTCGATCTTGCCGCGAGAATCAAAGTCAGAGGTACCATAACTGAGTAACAAGGACCAACGATCTAATCCAACTTGTGAGAAATTGCAACTGAGGAGTAATAAGCACAACTGGTACACCAAACACTTTCTCCTGAGCGGACAGGCGAGCCGATAAAGGGCCAAAGAAATGACCTGTATGTAGTCCATAGTGTTGTTAAGACTGTTTGTATATCAGAAATCCAGAGCATGGCACCAATCTTTCATCTATTCTGTCTTATTTCACTAAGCATGATACGCACACAGATGTATCATAGAGTTGTAGTACTGAACGAAGAACAAAAAGAGGTTGTATCCGGCCATCCAGGAAGGTTATGTTTTGGTACGGCTGAAAGGTACCCGGGAAGGAAGTTGAAAAACCGGAGTTTCCAGGATATCTCCGGGATACATCATCTTTCCGCCACACATCCGCACACATCTGGAACGCCAATATTCTTCCTTCCAGGGCATCTTTGGATTTCTGGGAAAACAGGTAGGTCACGGGACAGCCGTACAGGAATTGCACGTTTTGTTCTCTTTTCGGCTGTTCCGGCGGAAAACTGGTCTAGTCATCTATCAGTAGTAGTGATATCTACACAGGTTTTTGTACAAACTTATGGATCTTGGACACATCGGCAATTTGGGCAACCGTCTGTTTTACTAAACCCTGCTGTCTCCGGAATTCTTTCCGATCACCCGTGCCTTCAGGGGAAAGGTTGGCGTTTTTGGTGTGAAGCTACTCATACTCAGCTCACTCATTTTGGCTTTTCCGTCTTTCCCGACAGCTCGGCGAGTATTCAAGAGAGTTCGGTCTCACATGGGCGTCTCGAAGGTATATATTTCTGCTCGCACACTTGACAGACCTATATTGGAGGCTGTCATGATGCACGCCGAGTCCCGAAGGTAATATGATTAGCCTTTTTCCGGTTTCGAGGTTGATGATCATTTCGAGGCTCATCATGACACGTCCCAAGGTCCCGCCCAATTTCTAAATGTAATTGGGTTCGGGAGCTTTGACTCAAGCTGCCGGGAGGCAAATGGGAGTCCACCTGATCGTGTCCGGAGCTTGTCGCTATACTCCCACCACCTTTTCCCCAGCGCCCACCATCGCTTTTCTTTGCTCGGTCCCCATTCCTTATGAGAGATGTCTTCGTCCCTTGATGCTTCTAGCTGGCGGGTAAGCGATTCAACCTTGGGTCATCAAAGAGCCTACAAAGCCGCGAACTAATGGGTCTTTGGATCATACGTGAAGAAACCAAGTATTGCATCGACATTCGACAACCGGGTTCAGGTTGCGCACAATGCTCTCGAGCAAGCAATTGCTAGATTTACATCCGATGGGCAGCTCGGTGAGGATACTAACCATCAGGATGAATATGCTAGATTGAAGGTCGTCGATCGTAGCCTCGAAATACTACCAAGCCGGAATCCTCTACTCACAGATGGTAGATTTCGATCTGTTTTCCGGGCAAAGCAACTATAAGGATAGATTAAAGGGTTACCTGGGTGCAAGGGAAAGTGAGAGGGATAGGTAAGTCTTCATTGAACTCTAAACTTTAAAGTGGTTGACGTTTTCGTTCTAGTGTCAATCCCGTTAGTCAATATTCTGTACCAGATTCTGTTGACTGAACCCTTCTACTCGCTTGTACATAGTTCCTACGGGACGGACTGTCAGTGAGCTAAGAGATCCCGAGCGGCTCCGAACTCATTCCCCCTATTGGCAGAACATACGGTTATGCAGCGATACGCGCCTTCACCACATACAAAGACGAAGCGTTCTTGAGCTTTGCAGTCAACTGGTGGGTATGGGCCCAAAGGTGGACGATTCCGACTTCTGGACGAGTGGAGGGGAAGAATTTTACGATTCAAGCGAAGTGTTTTGATAGTAAGTTCACGGAGCCATTGATTCTTTTTTCTACAACATGCTGACTCATTCGTTTGAAGACAGCGTCGTGGGCGGAACATTTGATGTTCGTCTTCTCGGTGTTTGAGAATGATGCGAGACTAAACTCAAGTGTCTCACGTGTAGAATCTCAATCCCAACGATGGAGTTGTTTCTTTGTTGCCTACGGCGTAAGCCCGTTTCCTTCAGTCGTCCAACGAGTACCAACTTATCGTGATAACCCCCAGCTACTTTCTAACGTATTCTCCTCGTCTCCCTTGAGATCTCAAGCATCCAAATTTGACCTCCCTCCTCATACTCTCTTCTCCATGTACGATCAGATTATCTTCACTTCTCAAAGAATCAACTTCAAATCAAACATACTTCGACTACGCCACCTCATCTTTCAACTTCATCCGAACGCAGCTTCTACGAACATCCCAATACATACCAGACAACTCGATATCGTTGAACTCGGCCGAATCGACGAACTGTACTGTTGCGGCGTCAGGTGACTCGGGAAATGTGGGTGCGTGGATTGGTGCATTGGGAGTCTATGGGGATGGCGAGGAGATGTGAGTGCTTGTTCTGGTTTTTGAATGTGCACAAATACCGAAAAGCCTGTGTCTAGGGTCACAGGAAGTGTTACAACGGCCCTCACTAATCCGAGTTGGCATACGAATGATGAGATACTTAGACAAGCGGGTGAGTTTTCCTGTTGTTTCTCTGTAACATGTCGAGAGCTGAGAGCTTGCTTTAGGTACGCTAATGGGTAACATCAACCTACCTCGAGGCCTCACCACGTTATACGAACGGAATACGGCTTCAAGTATTCGTACTGAGATCGAGAATTACCTTTCAGTCCAGGTACTCAAACATTCTACCCTTGCCTACGATGCCTATTTTATACTTAAACCATGGGTAGTATAACGCCATACTCGACCAAAGCACCGTCTCCGGGAGCAACGTCTATAACGTCAACTGGACTGGACCCGCCCCGGATCCATCAGCAAAAGTAGATCTCGACCTCGATGCCCAGATTACTGCTCAGCAGGTTTTAATCGACGCGATACGATTATCAGGAGGTAGTCCTGATCACGGAGAGCCTAATCCCTCGAACACTAAATCATCGAATACGAAGGCAATCGCGGGAGGCGTAGTTGGAGGTTTAGTGGGTCTCTTGGGTCTCGTCCTTGCAATCTGGTTCTGCATGCGAAGAAGACGTCGCTTGAATGGTGCAAGTCAAGAGGTCGAACCTCGAGGCTTGGAGCAGGTCAGCTCATCAATCGAGCCATTCACAAATTACTCAACTTCAACGCCTCGTGAAAAGAACGGACATTCACCGGGTGGTGTCCTGACTTCATCTGGAGCGTTGAGACATCAACCCAGTCTCCAAAGTGGGGATATCGGTGATGGAGGAGAACCCCCCTCGTCTCAGGGACAGGCTCAACAGGGCGAAGGGCCTGGGCAAGTCCAACCACCCTCAATGGACGATGGACGATCGCGGCATTTGAATGAGGACGTTTTGCGACTTCGTAGTGACATGGAGCATGTTATGAGGGTACTAAGTCAGAGGCCGGGGAGTGACGGTGATTCCAGATCGAGGGTGGATGACGTTCCACCACCGGAGTATCCGGGGAGAGGATGAGATTTAGCCTCTAGGTAACGTGAATTTGTGGTTTCCTGAGATTTTATAGCTTGTTTTGTTTGCGGAATGTATATGTAGGGCTCCTAAATATGCTTGACTGCAGGCATGGTGATCATAGGCGGGAGGCCAGGATCCTTCTTGTCAAATTTTGTATACAGATAGTGTATCCCGACACGCCCGCCATGACGAGAGCGGATCAACTCCACCAGCCCTAATACCTCTTTCCGAGCTCTCTTCGCTCCCACTCCAACCAAGATCCCTCGTAAGCCAAGATACTGGGCAAATTAGAGTTAGATCGCTCTACCCATACGAAATAGACAACAACTCACTTTGTAAACCCACTGCTGCACGCAATCTCGCTCGCCGTCTTACTCCTCAATCCCTTTGTACAATAAAAGATGATCTCATTATTCCTCTGCGGCTTTGGAAAACCGTATGCCTTCTCAAAACGTTCGGGAGAATAACGTAGGGAGTTACCGAGATTTGATAGGGGAAGGTTTACGGCCGAGGGGATCATGCCGTGAACGACTTCGTCGTGTTCGCGGACATCTATTAGGTATTTATTCTGTTCGGGAACGTAACGATATGAGTTAGGGATTTAGATGTTGGCATGGATCTTCAGAGTACAGAGCGTATCAGAACTTACCTTCGAAGGCCTCTTAGTCCTGGATTTCATGATATTGTAGTTGATTATCCGAAAGTCTTGTCGGTAGGTTTGAGCATGATTGTGATGGGCACGGGTATGTGCAGAGTTGAGTATTAATTTGAGGGCTGACGAGGAGAAAGTGGCTGAGCGAGCGTGGAACATGGGTAAATATTGGCCGTGTTGAAGCGTTTTTTGTGCCCTAATATACTACCCCGCTGCGATTCCGAAGAAGGACAGCGTCCCGTGAGTGAATGACGAGTGGGAAGCAGTGGTACATAGGTGGTTCTACGGCCGTGAGCCATATACCAACGTCCAGCCTAGACTGCTCAATAACCCTTCGGATCTCATTTGCTACCTCAAAATGTTTCACAGGCTCTATTCCAAGATCATAAGACCTAGTGCTCGCAGTGTACATACTGTGGGATGGCAACCATGAGTTCGGGAAATTCCAAATGATCAATGATGGTACTCATATTAGCTCGAAATATCCGAGTCTATTAAGTATCTGAGATGAAAAACCGTTTCAATAGACTGCAGGTTGATATTGGATCGGACATAAGCATGTCCCACCAGCAGGCACAACACGAGAAGGCGATCGAGTAATATACCCTCAGGTAGGGGCCTTAGTCAGTGTCCTCCAGTGGTGGTATGGTATAAAGTCCAGGCATTGTCGACGAGGAGGATACAGACCATTCAGCTCTCTTCCACAAGTCCGAACGCAACATGATTACCGTATACGATATGGGACCTTCCAAATTCCCCGTAGACGTTGGGGCTTCGCCAC